CCAGTGAATGAGGCAGGTGGATTTCAGGCAAGAGGCTGTTCCAGAGGTGGGGGACAACTGCCAAGAACTCTCAGTTTATAATACTGTATTCTCTTTCCAGGCCTTTCTTGGGCCAATAATCTCAACTGTCCAGCCTGGGAAGATCAAGTAGTTGAACTTGTTGGGAAGAAGTGTTCTGTTAGACATCAAGGTCCCCTTGAAATTGGCAGGAAAATGGACAGGTAGCCAGTGCAGGGTGGCTAATGTAGGGGAGATATGTTGGTATTTCTTCACCACTCAGTAATCTGGCCACCATATTCTAGATGTGCTGGAGTTTCTGCAGCAGCCTCATAGGTAGCCCCATGTAAAGAACATTACAGTAGTCTAATCTCAATACTACCAGTGTGTGGACCAGCATAGTGAGGGACTGGTGTCAAGGTAGGGATGCAGCTAGATGATCCGCCTCAGATGTAAGGCCACACAGACTTCATGCTACCTGGGACTCTATCGATAGCACTGGGTCCAGAAGTATGCACGAACAGTAAACATCATCCTTCAGGGAGAGAGTAGCCCCACCAAATGAATGGGAGGCCCCCAACTGACAGACACTAGAGGTACCCACTCACAGGATCTCTGTCTTGTCTGGGTTCAGCCTCAGTCTGTTATCCCTCATCCACCCCAGCACTGCATCCAGAGACAGAAAGGCATCCACTGTAGAAGGAAGAAAGGAGAAATAGAGTTGGGTGTCATCCGCATAGTGGTGACACAAAGCTCCAAACTACCTGATGACCTATTAAAGTGTTTAAACATTCCTTTTCTTCTTTGTGATTTCAAGCTCACTTTGATTCATGATTCTCACATTCTATATTCCAGTTACATGTGTGGTGCAGGATATGGCTTTCCTTTTACCTCTGTGCACATCAGCAGCTGGATGTCCTCTTTGCTTTAACTGACTTTTTTCATTACTAACAGAACTATTTGTACTTATTCATTACTTTTTCCCAGTGGCACCTTCTAACCTGGGAGATTTATCTTCCAGCACTATCGCTTCTTTCATTTTGAAATGTCTTATCTTAGGATTTTTGAAAGATAAAATATTCAGAAGGAGTTTACCACTGCTTTCTTCTTCAAAGTACTAGCAAGACTTATCTTGAGTGTCATTGCCATTGTCTGCGAAAGATTACTCCCCATCTGCTGCTGCCTTTCAAGAATTTCTTCTCCTCCATCATCATTGGAATTACATGTTCATTTGACTGTTAATTCCTGAAGAAGATGGATGCATCGTGCTGTGGTGTTACAGCCATGAACATTCCACCCAGGCTGACCCTGCTAGGAATCTATACTCATAACAGAGTTTAATCTCTTAGCTGCATTGCTCTCAGCTTCCCTGAAATTCTCAAAACTCCATCACGTTTAGATGTGCACCCACACTGGGGACAAGGAGATTACCATTCTTTTTATATAACAGCAAGCACTATCCTTTGCACAACATTGTGATGTTGGGAAAGCAGGCAAATTGAGGAACACTCTATTGCTCGTCATTATGTTTGCAAGGGTATTTTATATGCATACATGTGTGTTTTTAAAGACCTTATTCATTCTCATTTTTTGTAAAGAGACGTTCACTTTATGTAGAGGACATGTTCATTAGTTTTGTTAAGAAGGTAATAATACCTATTGTATTTTAATGTTTTCTGCTTGTTGGCAAAATTCATTAAAGATCATTATGGCAAAAAAGATACGTTTTTATATTCCCTGTGAAAAGTTGTTTTCTTTTATTGTCAGATTTGACTTTTATTTATTTTTAACTTTTACTATCTTAGCATTTAAAGTAACTGAAATCAAAGGAGTGGTAGAGACATATATCAATAATTCTGTGCTTTTAAGTTGATTCCAACTTCTGACAAAGCAAAACATCCTGTACTTAGAAAACCCTTGAAATTCTTTCAATGGTTTGCTAAGTACAGGATACTTGGAAGTGGTTTGCCGTTCTCCTCTTCTGGGGATGTTCTGGGGCCATGTAACTAACCTAATACCACGTAGGAGAGCCCTTCTCCCTGGAGTCTCATCTGGGCCCTCTAACTCCACAGCCTAACTCACAGAGCTGTCAAGACAGCTACATCAGCTATAGCGAAAGCATTCTACAGCTAGTACATTGGCAGTCTGAATTCTAAAGAAATGGTGAATTCCAATTATGTGAAATTATATAAATCCTATTTACACAATGAAATAATAGGACTTGTTTGCAAACATGTTACAAAATTAAAACTGGACAGCCATCCATCAGATCTGCTTTGATTCAGATTCCTGTCTTGACCAGGGGTTTGGACTTGATGACCTTCAAGGCCCCTTCCAACTCCATGATTCTATGTTTCTTTGCTTCTAAAAGCTCCTCCATTGTTGTTGTTGTTTAGTTGTTAAGGCGTGTCCTACTCTTTGTGACCCCGTGGACCAGAGCACGCCAGGCCCTCCTGTCTTCCACTACCTCCCAGAGTTTGGTCAAGTTTATGTTGGTAGTTCCTCCATAGAGGACATTTTATTTATTTAATGGTTATTTAGCGAATTGTATTGCAAAGTTAAAGCTTATTTTGTTGGTGCACTTATTTTAAAATTTTGCTTTTCATTTTTAACGGTTTTGCATCTGGCTTTAGGAATAATCATTTTGTCCATTACTTAGATGGAGTGAATTAGTGACTTCACATTACATTAAAAAAACACATTGAATAACGTATGAAAAACAACAAGGTAACTGTTTTAAAATTCAACTCTAAATTTACATTGAAAAAATTAGTTATATACAGAATGTGTGCCTGCAATTTTATCTGCTATGGCAACTAATGAAGTATTTTTTTCTTAGTACTGCTAATTAGACATATTTGAATATAGTTTATTCTCTGCCATAGATGTACAAAGCAGACCCTTCTCTTTGTGCTTGGTGTCAAAAGCAACACAGTAGTTAATACATATATCAGTTAATTTTTGCCTAGTAACGAGAAACATTGGGAGCATTTGGGACAGGTAACATCAAGTGTTCCATAGACTATGCTAAGGGCCATAGAGTACACTGACATAGTTGTAAAGTTGCCTGTTCTTCTCACATTTTCAGAGAACTGTTAGTGTAAAACCCCTATTTTCTTAAGGTTCACTTTGATTCTGCCAATTCCACTGTATAGCCTATTAAGTGACTTAGTGATTTTTCTACCTTGCATTATCTTGTTGAACGTATTACCCTATTTTTATTAAAGACCTAATCAAGTTTAGTTCCTTCTTAGAAATAATCGAGCCTTATACATCTTCTGCTTGATTCACATACCACAGAATTTCTCAGTTAAGGGAAGAAAGAACAAGCTGCTAGGCTTGTAGACTTTTTTGATATTTTTCTCTCTTGTTTATAATTCTTACCAGGACATAGACCCCACAACATTTTTTCCATCTGTTGATGAGTTGGAGACTCCATTCATCTTGAAGAGGCAAAAGGAGGGGGTAGGAGTGGCAGCTACTAATATAATTTTTTTATATTAGGTAAGCTTCCCTTTTGGCCATTTTAAATAGAAGCTGGGCAGGGAAAGAAGCTTTACATGCACTGATGATGTTTGAATTTTTTTTTGCTGTGTTCTTATTTTTGCTTAATTTGTACAGTTTCTTTCACTTTTGTACACTTGTTTATGGTTTTTGATAGAATAGTACAGTTAAAACAATGTGCAAATGTTATACATTATACTGTATATAAAATACATTAATAAAAGGTGTGATTACTGCACGAACATCTAACCACATGAAATTGAAAACGTTGCATATTAATTTATTCCAAATGACTGTGTTGTCTGTTCTCAAACATGTCTCTAATCTGAGATTCAGTCTGGCATCCACGAAGAATCTCTGATGATGTGTTTTATTTATTTACCTGCCTATATGTCTGAAGCATTTTTCTCTCTCTCTTCATCTGTAAAACTTCTCATAGCACAAGGTCATAATAGTGGATATTAGACCTCCTAAATTCATATTCTAAGGACCCAAAGCAGGAGTAGGATATGTAGCTGACTAATTATCCATCTGAGTGATTGCAGTGGGATGATGGCTCAGATCCAGTGACAGTTTCATTTTTCTAATAAACTTAACATTGTCACATTCAAAGGATGATGCAGCAACCTTCAAACATACACATAAAGAAAGGAATTTTCAAGATCCGTCTAATACTTCCTTATCATTACTGCTGTTTATTCTGACTATAGATTTGCCAGGGAGTTCTAATGTACATTGAGCATATGTATTTTCCCGATTGTTGTCCAGTCTTGTGAAGCCCTGCCTGCAAAGGGGGGAATGATATCAGCAGCAGCAGAAGATTGCTGCAGATCAAAGGCTTCATTAATGATTTCATAGTGCATGTAGTTTCACTGCAGTATGTATAAGTTATTTCCACCCCAAAATCACCAAAGGAAGCAGCAGTCATTTGCTTTGGTGGTGGTGGTGCTGTTGCTGAGGCTAGGATCCTTCCTGTTCCTCAGGTGGAGTTCTGCAACAGGATTTCATCTGTTGATTCAGAAAGCAGAAGGAGGTTGAGTTATATTGCAGTTTTCACAGAGTGAACTTTAGTCTAGTGGAGTATCTTGTGAAAGTACTAAACGTGGCAATCATAATGATGTGTAGGAAGCAGTATTTTGATGGAAGACGTGGTAATTAATAAGTTGTCAAGTCAGTTTTGATTTATGCTGACCCCTTGCCGAGGTATCCTGGGTATAAAATTCTCAGAAGTGCTTTATCATTCCTTTTTCTGGGGGTGCTCTGGGACTGTGCAGCTTGCCCAAGGATACACAGGTTGGTTCATCTCCTGGGAAGCTCAGTAGGGAATCAAACTCTTTATTCCAACTCACTGATCTATCCACACATGAGAAATTTTAAGAAATTCTTCTAAGAATTAGCTATATGGATTCCCAATAGCTGTGGTGTGTGGTGTGGCCATTAATGTGATGATGGCAGGGCCATAGGCTATCCACTAAATTACTTTTCTTTTTCCCTTAAAGGGTCCCATTGGTTTACCTGGAGAAACTGGACCATCAGGAGGTCCTGGTGAGAAGGTATGCTAATATCTAGCAATGTAATGATCTCACTAACATTAGTAATATTCCTAGTAATATTCCAAAAGCAGTAGAATGTCATATCTTTCATTTAGATTGAACAATTGATCTTGTTTAATGCAGAGACAAGCTAAATGAGTTGAAGAAGTTCTGTGACTGGATCTAGCATCTCTAATGGGGGTTAAAAGGGGTTTAAAACTGTTTCCTAGAAAATTTCCAAGTATTTATGAGCCCTGTTCTGCAATTCAGTGCTGGATATATAAATAGACTACAGCTGACAGTCTAAATACACCTCCTCTTCCCAGAAACCAAGGAAGGAAAAATGCATTATAAGATGTTTTGGACCTCTTAATTGTTGGCATAATGTAGTGTCTTGGCATGACTGTGGGATCCCTAACATTTTCTAAGGGTTCTTCAACTTTGCCATAGTTCAGGAAATCAGCATGACTATAGCTACTGTTTTTTTTCCTATGGGGAAAACCTACATTTAATATAAAATTTTCCTTAATAGAGCCAATAGCACCTTCTCGGATGCCAATCCATATTGTGAGAGCCACACCAACAATGTTTTATCTTCACAGTAATGGAAGACCTGGTCATGGATCTGTTGTCTTGTTGAGCTGCGTCTTGAGTGACAATCCAGTAGTTTTTAAATAAGTAGTTTCTAAATAAAATTGTATTTTCTCAATTATTTATTACCTACTCTTCATTAAAATCATAAGATCATTATGTATAGCACCACTTGTCTTAAAACATCCCAAAGGTGATGAGAATACAAACAGATTTACAGTTCTCATAAAAATGGTTAGATTTGAATCTTTACAAGAGCTATGTTTGTGGGTTTCAAAATGATGCTAATAAAATAGTTGGAAGATTTGGGTTTGGAGATTAATAGGTTTCTCTGTTTTGGGACACACAGATTTTAACATGCATTTCAAAGTGTTATTATTAAGCTCCTTTAAAATTAAGAGGCATTTTATTTATTCATTTTCTTAAATTCAAACACAGGAAATTATTATTTGACTGGATGTCAGGTTTGATTATGCTAGAAAGGTAAATGATCTAGCATCCTTATTTTTACCCTGAAGGTAAAATTCTTTCACCCAGTTTAATAGCAGGAATTCGAAAAATGAAATACGAGATGAAAATTTTATCCTATAATGGTATCATAAGTTACATGAGTATGTGAAAAATTAGTGTCAATTTATGTCAGTTTCAAAGTAAAATAACTGAAAAACAAACTGTGAATTTGATGTTAACCATGGTAAGTAGTACTAAGGAATAACTACAAGTACGGATATTATTTTTTGATTGCTTCATAACTGTAAATATTCTGAGAAAAGCATTTTCTGATATGTTGGTGTTTTTTTTCAAATAGAAATTGAAGTATGGTATGAATCTATGGTTATTTCGGCATGCCTTTCCTCCAGACAATCCCTGATGATCCTCTTTCTTTTCTCTCTACTTGGTTTCTTCCCTTGTAAAGTTTTATTATTTATAAATCTGCACAGAATGGAAGTACAAACAGAACAATATTGCAGTTGCCACATCAGTTGTTTATTTCTATGCAATGTAGCATTTCACACACTGAAAATAATGTTTCCAATTTAATTGTAAAGGGTTGGGTTTTTTTGGTGTGCAAAGATTGTATTGTATGAAATCTACATCCACCTACTTTTGTAGGAACAGCTGAGTTACACAATTGTATACTTTGTTCAGATAGATGAAAGCCATTTTTTACCGTGATATTTTCCCACTTTACCTCTGAATGAACAGGAAGGATAAATATTGCCATAGGTGCACAATTAGATTTTCTGCACTTAAGTCATTGTGCATAAAGAAACACAGTTAAGTAAACTACTATGAATCTTATTTCCCTCCCCATAGAAATGTAAAAAGGTGTTCTAGACACAGAAGTCACCATTTTCACTTTTACTGTAGCTTTCATTCTGCAGCCCATCATCACCATTCTCCTCTGGTCTTCTGACAGAGAGAAAGAACATTATAATGACAACCTGACCCTTAGTTGCTTTATTTTTGTTGCTTATCTTTAAGGGAGAGAGAGGTAACCCAGGTCCAATCGGCCCTCCTGGAGAAAAAGGCGTCATGGTAAGTGATTATTGGGATTCCAGATTTACATGAGAAACTCAACACATGTGAAGGATGATGATTTCATCAGCCATGGACACTGGTCTTTAATTTAATGTATGCCCAACCCTCAGGTTCTGAGGCTTCTTAGGGATCCCTTTCAGCCTGGGGAAGCCTTTGGGAACCTCAGAATAATGGCGAGAGCCTTTAATATCAGAAAACTGCAAATGCCAGTTCCAGGCACAGTGGCAGGACCACCATCAGCATTTTTCCGATATTAAATGC